CGGAGACCCAGTGAATTTAAAGTAACAGCAAAACTTTACTGGTTGCAAGGAACATTTGCTCCTTCTCACACACACACACACACACACACACACACTCATCCACACTTAGCCAGGTCCTTCCCAACTAGGCTGCCAGGCACTAGCTAGAGGGAGGGAAGCTGCCAAGTCTGGATCCAAAGATGACTCAGATGACTCAGAGTGGGCAGGCTTTGGGACCCCTTTTATCCCCCAAAGTCCTTTCTTGGTTGATTTATAAGTGGATGGGATTGGAATGAGGGTTTCCATGTGCTCAGGCCCAACTTCTTTTGTCTGGTTCCAGTCCTTTGTTTCCTTAACGACTTGCTTCCTTCTTATCTACCTCCCCAAAGGGATCTCATAGACAAGATTCCTGGCTTTTGTCCTCTCTGCTTACATGCCTGCTTCATTTTTAGTTATGGCAGCTTCAGCCTAGTCTCACAGACCCCATGATGATAATGATGATTTACAGATTGCCCTGTTGGGGGAGAGGGATTGCAGATGGTTGAAAGCCTTTTGGAAGCAGGAGATTGGGCAATGGGAATTTCCAGGACCAGAGAAGCTCAAGTTCCAAAGGAATCAGGGCTTCTATTAAATCAAAATCAGATGGCTGGCTCCCAGACTGCTATAGATTGAAGTGATTGTTACATAACCAGCCATCTGTAAACTTCCCCATTATCAGCAAAGAGACCCACCCTCCTGGATCTTCAGAAGGCTGTTAGAAAGAAAATCAAAGAGTCTTGACCCTAACCTACCTGGAGATAGATTGATTCTAAATGGAAAATGGTTCAGTTGCTGGAATTCTTGTAACTCTCAATAAATTTGGCTAAATACTCCCTGCGAGAATCATGTTTGGAAAAAAACCAGTTTTAAGCAGCTGCAAAAGCGCCTGACGCCAAGCAGAAGTTCTTCCCAGCTCCAGCACCCATTTATAGCCATGCCACCCCCAAAACCCCAACGTTTTTGCATTTTGAGGGGTCTAGTGAAGGGGTTAAGGGATGAAAGGAGTACCTGAACATTTGCAGAGGTTTTATACACTCCACTCCTTTAAAAGCTCAAGCCCCATAAGAAAGGGCTTTCCCCCCTATACTCTCATTGGTGTCTTAAGCTGCATGACATCACTGGCCACAGCCCCCAGGCAAGTTATGTAGGCAACTTTGGGTTCCCATCCTGAAAACAGCTGCCCACACCTTTCCCTAGAGCATTGCAACTATAGGCATAGACATGAGATGATGTCACAGCAAGACCCTTGCATTTCTAAAGCTAGCGCTCCAAATAGAAGACTGAAGAGTGCTAGCTTTCCCCCTGATGTGCTGTCATTCTTTGCATGATGACTTTTGTTTAATGCTTATTGGGGAGCATTAAAATATATAATTTCCCGATTGGAACCTGTAATGTGTCAGTTGAGCCAAATGCTAAGAGATCAGGTAAGGGAAGAATGTAAAAAGAGGAGCAGTCATTTGCAGTTTTTGCTGAGAAAAAAAGAGTGGTGTGTCATGATGAATGTAATTAACAAAGGCTCCTATGCGCTCAAAGTATCTGCCCATAAAGGAAGCTTCCTCTGGTGTCTCTGAATGATTCCCTGTACTGACCTGAGCTGCTTTTAAACATTCTCCCTCGGAATATAAGCAAACCATGGTATCTCTGTATGAGATGACATTAGATTATTCCTGATGCAAAGAGGAAACTGAAATAGCTGCTTGCTGCGTCTCCCTGTATAAGTAGGCACAAAGAGAGCACTCAACTTCCACAGGAAACAAGTCACTCAGGATGATTCAGCCATTCCTGGTCTAAAGGAATTTAGAGTTGTCCTTGAGGAAGACATGAAAGAGATGGCAAAGAGGGACTTAAAGAAGTGGTTTCACAGATGGGAGAAGGAGACTCAAAATAACCTGGCCTTGATTTAGTTTAGTGCAAGATGGGTCAGAGAGAAACTTGGAGAGGCTTTCACAATTCCATTATACTACCCTACAACCAGGGCCAGATTAAGGTCAACTGATGCTCTAAGACCAGCCCAACAATGGTGCCCCTTGGCCCTTCCCTGGCTTAACTGACAAGACATTAAGACTCACTAAATGCTGAAATTTAAAGTTGAGTGTGGCAGTGAAAGAGTTAAGGACATGACAGTTGGTGGGGGGACCCTCTGTGGTACTTCCCTTAGTGTCCTAAGCAGATCCTTATTCTGATTAATGGTTAATCCAAGGCTGCCTACAACAGTATTCCTGGGACCCCTGTGATGTCTGTTTCTTGACCTGGCCAACCTGAAAGGGCTGACATCCAGTGAAGAAAACCAATGACCTTTCTTCAGGGGAAGGACAGTCCAAATGGTGCCACCTATGAGAACTCTGGCCATGGATTCCATTCCTCCAAAGAAGAGTAATTTTGGTACATTCTTCATGTACTAAGGACATTAGGGGTGATGTATACTTCCAAAACAAAATTCGAGACAAAAAAGTGGTCCATTGCCATCAGAAATTTGGGAAGAGCAGAGTATCTGCCCTGTGATGTGAGAGATCCAGGCCCAACTCTTGTCCTGGCAAATACCCAAAAGGTTGCTCATTTAGAGATCGTATTCTAGAATTTCTTGCTGCTGCTTTTTTTAGGAATAGGGCAGAATTGCCCTGTATCTCCAGATGGTTTGGATCTGCTAATCGTGCAGCCTTGAAAACAGAGTACCGCCTGAGGGATGGGAAATGAATTCCATTTGTTAAGTTACCCCTTGTGATCACAGCCCGGGTGGGCAGGGAGACGGGCCGTTTTAGTTTAAATGAGATCTGAATTATTGATAAATGGGTTTAATCATCTGTGGAATATTGAATTAAAGCAATTATCAGCCAGCCCTGTTGCACCCCTCTGATCAAGAAGGTGTTCTTCCATCTCCCAGCTCTTCTGTCTGGTCCTCCAGCTAAGAGGAATCTAAATTAGGAGTACATGCACGTACGTGTGTGAACAAGAAAGGAGAACAGAGAGTGTATGCCATGGGGTTCAGAAGCTTCTCATATTCCTTTCCATTTTCCACTCCCTTGACCTGCAGCTGCGAGTAAATGGGGTCCATGGAACGACTGGAACTTGTGCTCCAAGACTTGTGACACAGGCTGGCAGAAACGTTTCCGGATGTGCCAGGGGACAGGAGTACAAGACTACCCGTGTGAGGGCAGTGGGGAAGAAGTGAAGACATGCAACGAGAAAAAATGCCCAGGTATTTGGCACATGGCACGCATCGCTCCTAGAAGGGGATGGGCAGAGAAGTTCTCCCACGTGGTTTTCTACTGGTTTTAATTCAGTTCAATGAAAGGGGATTTGCTTTTGAAATTTCTCCCGAGGAGAAGAAGTTGGAAATTGTGCAGGACTGAAAGATGATTGTCCAATGAAGGACTGAGATTAGAAAGAGTCTGGTAGCACTTGTTCAGGCTCGCAGATTTTATTAAAATTAAGAGGCATAAGCGTTTGAAATAGAATTTGTTAATCTGAAAAGATGCTACCAGACTCCTAATGTTTTCCTACCTTACACTAACACAGCTCTCCTTCTACAATGTGCGCAACAAAGAACTGGGCATTCATCAGTGTCCGTGGCCATTTTGTCATTTCACATGGGCAAGATTACACAGCTTGTCAGCCTTGTAATCCAGACAAGAACCACAGCTAGAAGTACTATTTCTATTTTTTTTTTTTTTTTTTTTTTGGTAAGATTACATTAACAGAATCTTGCAAGTCTGAAAGTACATTTCTCCCCCATCGTCTTTACAGTCCCAGAAGCTAGGGAGGGTCCCTTCTGAGATTTTTGCTACACCCCCATTCCTTCTGCAGGCTCAGCTGCCTCTTATCTGTCCGTTGTCTCTTCTGCTGCTCTTCCCCCTGTCTCCCAAGGTCATTCCCACATACCACTACACAGCTCCACCCTTGCGGATACATTCTAAATCTCTTGCCTTTGAAAATTTACATTTAAAATTTAAAAACACTTATTTATTTATTTATTTATTTATTTATTTATTTATTTATTATTAAATTTGTATACCACCCATCTACCCCCAACGGGTGACTCTGGGCAGCTCATTCTGCTCCCTCCAATTATATGAGGATCGGTAGGAAAAAATATGAGATAAGTTATCTGCATGGCTTTGATTTGCTCATTGACTACTTACACACACACTACTTCTGCTGTGTCTGTTCCCCTTTCCCCGGCCAACTAAGTTTGGGCTTACTGTGATAGGCAGGTACATTTGTTCTGCTGTCCCACCCTCTTCCCTCTTCTCTCCCCCCAGCTTTCCATGAGATGTGCAGGGATGAATCCATTGCCCTGATGACTTGGAAGAAAGCTGCAGCCGGCGAAATAGTCTACAACAAATGCCCATCTAATGCTACAGGTAGGTAGGTGCCTGGGTAGAGACTGGCACTGTAGGTTGCCCAAACCAGAGTCTAAAATGCCACAGAGGACAATTGGAAAAGGAGAGGATGATTTATGAACGACAGAGCTTTTCCAAACTGGATTTCACACTGAAAACAGAGGGCCACTTTCGTGGACATTAAGGGCAACCAACTTTAGGGCCTCCAGATTTGTTGGAATGTCAGTCCCATCAGGGCCAAGGTAACTGGGCTAAATGGGAGTTATAATGCAACACCAGATTTTTTTTTCTTTATTGAGTACTTCAGAGAAAATTATATGTACAAGAGGAAATATGAAAAAAGTAAAATAATATAATACAGATAAATGAACTGAGGATTTTAAAATGTCAGGGAGGTCTTAAATATCATTAACATTATGAATAATTAAATATATTATATAAATCATCTTAAGAGACCAAAAATCAGTATTAAACCTAAGCTTAAAATGAGTGGCAAAGACCATGGTCAACATAATATAAATGGAATAAAATTATACTTTGTAGTAAATTCAAACCGTGTTAATAAAAATCTGTTCGGATTTAGATAGATTATAAAATGGAGATACAGATTCTATGCATAAATAAACCTCAACCCTGGATGTGGTACCACTCCTTATTTTGAATCAGAACCCAAGAATGCTTCCCCCTTTAAATTGAAATCTCTGGCCAGGTTGGCTTTTAAGGTAGGAAGTTATTCTAGACATCAAACTATAGCAACATCAAGTAAAAGAAGACAGAACTGGGGCTGACTGCACCAGCTGGCTAACTTACAATGCATCCCTGGTCAATCCTCCTTCAATTTATTGTATCTCAGTGGCACTCTTCCTTCTGAAAGATGGAGTTTTGCTTCTGACTTTTGGTTTATAACTTCCCACGATGGAATATTCCCCACTCTGCTGCCCTCCAGATGTTTTGGGACTACAGATCCAAGAATTTCCCAACCAAGCTCATGTTGGCTAGTAATGCTGGGAGTTTTTATCCCAGCCAATCTGGAGGGCAGTTCTCATTACCTTGGTGGAACCCTTGACACTTTCACATGGGGTGAACAGTGCCTTGCCTTCCATCTATTGCCAAAGTTTACTGAATTAACAAATAACTGATCCCACACAATGTCCATCTTCTCCTTGAGAAAAAAAAGCACCCACTTTCAACCTGCTTTTGCATTTGAAGAAAGCTATGCTTTTTGCAAGCCTCCTTTAAAGACAATTTTGCAAACATTATTGCTTTGCCCCATGGTGAAAAGTGGCATGATTGCAATTTTAGTAGAGTCGAAAGAAGCAAAATTCTGACTCGATACAACCTTGGCTCATTATGAAGGGGCGAGGACCTGGGTGCAGTTCAAGGTGCTGGTTGTCACCTTTAAAACCCTGCATGGAATGGGATCAGGTTACTTGCAGGACCACCTATCCCTGATGGTTTCTGCCCATCCCACCAAATCAGGCAGAGTGGACATGCTCCAGGTCTCATTGGTGAAGCAATATCATTGGTGGGCCCCAGGAGGTATACCTTCTCTGTCATGGCACCTGTCTTGTGGAACAGCCTCCCTCTGAGATGCTGATGGCCCCAACCCTATTAACCTTTCAGAAGGCTATGAAGGCCTGGCTCTTCCCCTAGGCATTGCGGTGGGGACGCTGGTGGAGCTCTGATTTGGGTGTGGTTTTGTTTGATAAGTTGATAATGTAATTTTTAGGGGCCTCGACCCATAGTTTGGTTATGTTTTATTTCCATTTGCTGCCCAGAGTTCCTTGAGTAGATGGGAGGCTTTATCAATTAGTTAAATAAAGAAATAGAAATATCCATGCTTCAGCTCAAAAGGAACAGCTCTGTTTCTTTCTTCTAAGAGAAAAAAGCCAGTGTAGAACCAAAACACCATGTTTGGGGACGGTGCTACAAATAAGGAACCTCTGTGTTACATGAAATAATGAGATTGTACTGGGAACCTTCTCTCGCTGAGGTTGGCTTCCCCATCTGAATCTTCTTCCACTTACAATATCCGCTAAGGTCACAATCTGTTCATTTGCATCTCCAGGGCAATAAACATAATAAATAATAAACACTTTAAGAAAGCAAAGTTGGAAAGATATTTTTGTTTGTTTGTTTCAGTAATGTGTCAGGATGGGGACAATTATTTAGAAAGGCAACAGCAGCATTAGCACAGAAGCTGGAAGCGGCAGGGGAATATAAAGCTGTTGGGTTGGATCTTATTTCTATCATTCCCTATTCTATATTTGAAGCTGAAAAGCTCTTTTCCAAATAAGATGCAATACATTGGGTCACCAGGCCCAAAGATCTTCTCATGCAGAGGTATGACTTCCATAGATGCCATTCACTTCCAAGATGTTTGGATTGAAAGTGTTATGCAACATTTACTTGTTATTTGGAACTGAAAATGCTTCTAATAAGGCAATTGAGGTGCTGCTAAATCGATCAGCAGTAGAAACAAAAGAATGTGCCCAAGTTTAAAGCTGGGGAATGTAAGCCAGCTTTGGTTAGTTGCCTAAGCATTCTTAGTAAGTGCCAACCAAATCTGTGCAGGAGTCAGGGATGTCCTCAAGGGGTTCAAAAGAAGTCAAGATGGTGGGTTTCATATCCTGTGGCGGCCATTGTCTTGACTTTTCTGATCTCCCCACCTCCCCGGTGGGCGTGAGAGTTTCCCAACTCATTTTTGCCACCCGAATTGCAGAGCAGGTGACAACCCTGTTAGGGTCACTTCAAACCCACCACTCCCCAAGCTAACCACTGGGGAATGAGAGACTGAATTTGGTGCGGCTGATCATCCTGACCTCTTCAGCGATGGGCACTAACCAGTGGCTTGCCTCTTTCCTAGGATCTGCCAGCCGACAGTGCCTGCTCAACTCCCATGGTGTGGCTTACTGGGGCATGCCCAGCTTCGCACGCTGCATTTCCCATGAGTACCGATACTTACATCTTTCAGTAGGTGCAAACTTTGGCAAGGCAACTGTGGCCTCTGGGGCTCCCCTCTTCTCTGCCGCTTGACCCACCCTCCTGCCTTGTTCAAAAAAGGGATTGACATAGCAGAAAAGGAGGATCAGGACTGTGGGCAAGATATATAAAATATGTAACATCCAGCTGTTCTTCTGTTTGCAGTAGTGTCAACTTGGGAAAGAGTCATGATCAAGACCAGAGCTCCCTAAGCAGGGAGGCTTAAAACTTCCAGCCCTTTTCATTACAAAATTTAATACTCATGCTTTCTCTTTCACACACACACACCAAATTTTAAAAAAAGCAGGGGGTCAGGTTTGTCCCCCTGTTTCAAATCATCACATAAAACCTCCTGGTTCAATCTGTTGTTGGTAGTTGGTGTTGAGATCAATTTATTTATTAGATGAATAGCCTGCCTTTCATTCAGGATCAAAGCAGCGTACATAGTACTTCCATTTTCCCACACAACAACTCTGTGAGGGAGGCTGGGCTGAAAGAGAGGAACTGGCCCAAAGTCACCCAGGAAGCTTCCATGGCTGAGGGGGTATTTGAACCTGGGGCTCCTTGTTCCCAGTCCAGTACCTTAACCACCACACTTTACTGGCTCTCCTTCGTGCTATGATAGAACATGTATTGATGAGAATACCTACAGATACAGACAGTCCTCTACTCACAAACTTTTGGGTTACGAACTTTCTCTGATATGAACAAACCTCCAACAACTCCAGCAATGAAGGTCCCAGAAGGAAGGTCCTGGAAGTTTACATATGCAGCATGCTGTAAACTTCCAGGCATACATATGCGGTGCACTGTGGTTGGACTTACCAACAAAATGGACTTACGAACAACCTCTTGGAACGTATCCTGTTTGTAAGTAGAGGACTGTCTGTATTCTGCCAATAAAGGTAAAGCAAACTGTTGGGAGTTATTTAATCAAATTATTATTGCCTGACCAGTACAATCCATGTGGATTTCCCAGTAAATTCTGACAAGGGGAAGATTTTAGCTTTTGATGGCTGGTGTGGGTCTTCCGGGCTGTGTGGCCGTGTTCTGGACGTTTTGTTTCCTAACATTTCACCAGCATCTGTGACTGGCATCTTCAGAGAGCAGGAGCACA